GCCTGGGAAGGTGGCTCAGTGGTAGAGTGCTTGCCTTACATGCATGAGGCCCTGGGTTCGATTCCTTAGTACCACATAAGCAGAAAAAGCCAGAAGTGGTGCTTTGGCTCAAGTGGTAGAGCACTATCCTTGAGCTGAAGTGCTAAGGGACAGCGCCCAGGCCCAGAGTTCAGGCCCCTTGACGGACCAAAAAATAAAATGACAGAAATGCTCCAAGATTCTTTCAGTTCTTCTAAGGACTTAAAAACAAAATGAAGATTCAGAAACACAAATGAATCACCCAATCCAGGCCACCTGGGAAAATGGTCATCACATACAAATACTGGGGTTTAGCAAGAATGAGATTGCTAAACCTAAATGTTTTGTTCGAGAGTGTTAACTCTGAGGGTCTCAATAAATAAAATCAGCCACTTGTAAAAACCAAGCAGAAAAAGAAATGTTGAAAAGTAGAAAAGGAATGTTAATCATTATTCTTATGCCAGGAAGACAGAGGACTCTTATCCTTAATGCTGATTTCACTGTCTTAGTTAAAGTGGTGCTGCTCTCCATTATATCATGATTCGTCAACAGGTGCTTTGTCAGGAGCAAGAAAGTTATTTTAACATGGGGTCTAGTTTTAAATCATCAAAAGGTATTTATTGCTGGGCTCAGTGGCTCATTCTTGTAATCCTAGTTACACAGGAGACTGAGATCTGAGGATTGAGGTTCAAAGCCAGTCTGGGCAGGAAAGCTTGTGAAACTTTAACTATCAATTAAGCTGGAAATGGAACTTGACTCAAGTGGTAGAGTGGTAGTCATAAGTGAAAAAGCTCAGTGACCATACCAAGGCCTCTGAGTTCAAGCCCTATACCAGTGCATCATTCTGAGTTCAAGCCCTATACCAGTGCATCATGTGTGTGTGTGTGTGTGTGTGTGTGTGTGTGTGTGTGCATACATTTTCAAGTAAATTTTTTTCTCCATATATAATTTTTATTGTAAAATACTGTACAGGGGACTACAGTAGGGTAATATGTACATTTCGTATTGAGCATTGTTACCTCGTCCTTTGTTTTCCCCTACCATCCCTTCCCTCCACACCTCTCCAGCTCTTCCCTCCCCTCCCACCCAAAATTGTAAAGTTTGCTTTCAACATAGTAACTTGTACATTATGCCTTATGATATTGAATTAAATGAAGTCTATTGGAACTTCCAAATCATTGTCCATGTAATCCATGTAATTATAGAAAACTTAAAATTACTCTCCTTCACTTTTTTCTGCTTTTTTTCTAAAAAATATGAATAACTACATAGTAAAAAAATAAAATTAAGACTATATAAGCTGATATTGACTATTGTGCTTTTCTTCCAGTATCTTTTCTGCACACATTTTAAGGGCACTGGTGTCTCACACCTATAATTCTATTTGGGAAGCTGATATCTAAGGATTATGCTTCAAAGCTAGCCCTGGAAGGAAAGACCATGAGACTCTTATATCCAATTGACCACCAGACAGGATGTGGAGCTCTGGCTCAAAGTGGTAGACAGATAGCGTTTAGTAAATGAGCTAAGTGACAATACAAAGCCCTAAGTTCAAGCCCCACAACCAGAAGAAAAATGTAAAGTAAAAATCAACCTAGTTCTTTAGTAATTTGATTAACAGAGAAAAGCGTATTGAAGTTCCCATATTTGCTTGCTTTTTATTAATGATGTCAAAGTAGTATTTTCCTTTTTGTTTTGTTTTATATATTTCTTTTTAATAATGAAGAATTGTCAATGCTGATCTAGCTTACACATCATTGCAAGAATATACAATTGTACACTACTCCTGTGATGGTTAAACTATCAAGGAATATGTTTGCAATTGCGTTTTGAAGGGTCAGTCTATTAACAGCAGCAGCTAATGAAGTTAATGAAGCCACAGAGGACATGATTCCTTGACTTCCTTTGGTGCCATTTCTAGCAATTCCTGCAGTTCCTTTCTGCATCTTTAGTCCCCAGGGGACATCACTCTGATCACCACCGAAGGGAAGTTCTCAGGGACCTTAGCAGATGTCCCAAAGCAGAGAGCAGCTCTCCAGGGACCAGGCTGATGAAATCATGGTTCTTTTCACAAGGTAATTCTCTGGCCTTACCTATCCCTGCACGCTGACCATGAGAAAAAAAAGACAACTGTAAAGAATGAAATTATTTGGCGTTTTGCTTAGTGTAGATGCTGTGTGACTGCCAGTTGCATGGCAGTGACCAGGTGCTGTTTCCTTGGCAAGACCATTGACTGTAATGTGCTTCAACACTCAGCCTTGCTGTAAATAAGTCTCAGAAGACTCTTTAGCTCACTATATTGCATTCCTGAAAATTAACAAAGTAGATCACAGGATGTGAGTATTTCAGGGGAGAAATTATTCACGTTTCCTTAGTTGTCTAGGATAGGGAAGGCATGAATAAGAATAGCATGGCATGAATAATAATGACAAGACACTGTAATGTTGACAGGGTTGATAGTCCTAGGTCATACTCTTCCTAGGATATTCACTTTGTATGTGGGATAAATAATAATTAATTTAAAATAAAGAAGTCGCAGAAGTATATTAGTTGTTTTTTGAATTTGAGTATTATTGCAATACAAGCCTTTATTCATTCAGAATTCATTACTGTTACTTCAAATTTCTAACTTTACATTCAGATGATAGGCATATAATCCTGTTGTTGCGTAAAGTAGAAGTTAACCCTGGTTTGTTTTAGGAAAAGCATTTAGGAGATAGGCAATATCAGTCTGATACTGATTGCAAACTCCAGTTACATATTTTTAAAAATAATTGTCTCATTCTTTATGATAAGTGAAATATTTCATGTTATATCTCTTTCATACTTTTATTAATAATCTAAATATTATTAATTTATTAAATAATCAGACAAATAGAAAAACATGTTTTAAAATATGGTTTATAATCTTTCATTAAACTCTTCTTAAAATGTAAATTCTGAGCTAAGTGCTGGTGGTTCCCTCCTACCTGTAGTACTCAAGAAACTGAAATCTGAAGATTATGGTTCAAAGCTGGCCTGGGCAGAAAAATCCACAACACTGTTATCTCCTATTAATCACAAAAGAAAAAAAAATAGCTAGAAGCAGAGTTGTGGCTCAAGTGGCAGAGCACTGGCAAAAAACGGTAAAGATAATATCCAGGTCCTGAGTTCAAACCTTAGGACCAGCACATACACATAAACACAATATGCACACACACACACACACACACACACACACACACACACACACACACACACGTGTGCTCACCCCCCAAATTAAAATAATGTAATTTTTCATATATTTTCACCCCATCTTGGAAATTACCATTTCATCCCTAAAATGTATATTTAACTTTTGCTGTTCACAGAAATATGGCAAAATCTTTATGACAATAACAAATGTATTTTCATGAAAGACACAAATAAAATGTTCTCAACAGAGTAAGATTTAAGCACTAATTTCTAAGAAAAGGTTTCTCTATCAATAGTGACCCACAGGGACAATGCCACAGTGTCATAAAATCTGAACTCATTGTTTTAAAATTAGAGTTTCATGTTTCAAACTTTTAAGAAGATTAGAAACAAGAAATCCATAGACTGGAACCCACTGACTATTACTTTGTGGTGTCATTTTTATTGTGTTACAGAAGCTATCTCCTCTGTGTCTTTACTGGAGGTAATCTGTAAATTTTGAACACAAACACATATCTGAACATTTTACTATGGCTGTTAAGATTTACCTTATTTTGTAATTGTCTTTGGCATTACATGACATGAATAAGCACAATGAGATCCATACTTCTGTAATAATAAGATTTCTCATTTCTATAAAAATGCATTTGTGCGTATCAAATCAATCTAAGAAAACAGAAGATATAATAGTCTTTTTAAAAAACAAAAGTAGGCAAAAATAAGATATTTAGGTAAATATTTCTAAACCAAATACCTTTCTTCCATATATAATTCTGGAAGTAAAATTTACTCATGTGTCAATATCCCTCCAATCTTAAGCGGTTCCAGGTATGAGTAGGGTAATCAGTATGGTTGAGATGACTTTAATGCACTGGCCCCAGACCTGCGCCACATGGTGATTTCTCCATCACTCTTTGTATTTTAGTATAATTCCTCAGTGACAGGACAATGTAGCTTCTCATATATAACCATGCTTTTTACATTTTCTTGGATTGTGTATGTGTGTTTTGTGTATGTAACTGTGCGTTTTGCTTTTTTTTTACCCCCATTATTGAATTGTAGTTTCTCTCTTGTAGGCAGGTCCTCTAACCACATAATTTTAACCTAGCCATATTTACTCCTGTCAATTTTTGAGAATGGGTCTCTCTTTACATCTCTGGCAGGCACCAGAGTAAGATAATCTATGTTAGGTTGCCCTAGCTAGGATAAAAGGTGAGCATTATCACATCTTGAGAAGGAGTCTCGAGAAATTTTCTGCCCTGACTGAACTTCAACCATGAATCTGTCTCAATCATCCAAATAGATAAGTGTACAAGTATAAGCTACCAGAACTTGGGTTAGAATGCTGTTGTTTTCATCAACCTTACTTGGTTCTAAACCTGCACTAGAACTTAAGAATGATGGACTATTTACTCCTTTATTTTGTCATTTGGAAAGAGTGACTAAATGTTACACTCACTACCTTATGTATGTACTTATAACCCCTCTGTCCATCACGTTGACAATAAAATTAAGTTAAAAATGTTTACTTTTTATAGAAATTTTTATTGTGATTAAGTGATTATATAAATTTCACAAATTTCACAGTATTGTGCAATATTGATAACTTAGTTAAAATGTTTACAATTAAGATTGGAAAAAATGAGGTAATCCCTGTATAGTGTGTAAAAAATAGTTATTTTCTATTCTTTTTTGCTAGGGGGTTGTGTATAATTATTATAAAAATGAATAATCATTTGAATTTTTCTCATTATCCATTTATCATCATCTGGGCACTGTTATTCCTTGTAGATCAGAAAAGATGAGACATGGAAGTAACAAACCACACGACAGTGACAGAGTTCATTTTCCTTGGTTTTTCTGGTGCTCCCTCGCTGCGGCTCACATTATTTGTCATGTTCCTCACTGTGTATCTTCTCTCCCTCATGGGAAACACCCTCATCATATTCATTGTTCTGATGGATTCCACCCTGCAGACACCCATGTACATTTTCTTAGGAAATTTGTCTTTCTTAGAGATCTGGTACACTACAGCCACAGTGCCTAAGTTGTTGGCCACCTGCCTCTCAAAGATTGTCACCATCTCTGTTTCTGGCTGTGTTACTCAATACTACTTTTTCTTCTCAATGGGAGCTACAGAGTGCATCTTGCTGGCTGTGATGGCTTATGACAGATACGTGGCCATTTGCAGCCCGCTACACTACCCGCTGCTCATGAGTCTCCAGGTTTGCCTGCAGTTTTCCGCTGGATCATGGGTTGGGGGCTTCATTGCCCCAGTCTTACCCACCATACTTATTTCCCGTCTAAACTTCTGTGGTCCCCAGAAGATCAACCATTTCTTTTGTGATTCAGACCCCATTTTTAAACTGTCTTGCTCAGATACATTCTTAGTGGAAGCCTTGGGGTACACATGCAGCTCTGTTGTGATTCTAAGTTCTTTTCTTCTCACTATGTCCTCCTATGGCAAAATTGTGGTCACCATCATCAGGCTGTCTTCTCGAGAGGCTCGGAAGAAAACTTTCTCCACGTGTGCTTCCCATCTGAGTGTAGTTACCATCTATTATGGCACCATAATCTTTGCCTATGTCCGCCCTCCAGCCAAGTACAACTTCACCATTGGTAAGGTGGTCTCAGTGTTCTACTGTGTGGTTACACCATTGGTAAACCCTCTCATATATACCCTGAGAAACAAAGATGTGAAGAAAGCTTTCAGAAAATATATAGCAAAGAGGAGAGTTTTCTGGATCAGAAGGGTACAGAAGTTTTGAGATATCAACACAAATGGACAATTGACAGTGGATTCTTTGTAAATAAGCAAAGTATTGATAATTGTGCTACAAAAGTGATACTAAGTGATTTGATCATTTCTGTTCATCAAAGTTATTTTCAATTCTATTGTAGAGTTATTCTATATCTACTCTATGAATGTCTTATCACAATATCATAGTGATAGAATGATAAATATTGCAAAGCTTCTTGCCTATAATGTATTCACAGTTCGAAAATAGGTTGGTTGATTCTATTATATTTCCACTATTTTCATATCTCAGCAGGAACCACAAGTCACCAAACTCTGCTCAATGAAGCTGTGTGCTTAGCCGGGCGCTGGTGGCTCACACCTGTAATCCTAGCTACTCAGGAGGCTGAGATCTGAGGATCACGGTTCAAAGCCAGCCTGGGCAGGAGAAACCGTGAGACTCCTATCTCCAATAAACCACCAGAAAACCGGAAGTGGCGCTGTAGCTCAAGTGGTAAAGTGCTGGCCTTGAGCTGAAGAGCTGAGGGACAGGGCGCGGCCCAGAGTTCAAGCCCCACGACCGACAAAAAAAAAAAAAAAAAAATAAGCTGTGCGCTTTATGGAGTCAATGGTCTAATAAAATTTTAATCCTTTGTGCTTCAAAAGTACATTCAGGAAATATTTGCTCAACACCCCATTCTTAAGTATGGATGATAATTTACTTGGCTATATAAATATAGGTCTATAAGTTTATTATAAGTGTTTATTAGTATTTTGAAAAACATAAAATCAATAAATGAATAAGATTTTAAATGTAAGCAATTAAAATTTAATTTATTTTTTTAAAAAATAAAACAATTAAAATTGAGATTAGAAAGACAGAGAAAAGAAAAAAAGCAAGAACTGAACAGTATAAGAAAAAAACATTTTTTAAATATCAACACTCAAATTATTTAAAAACATTCAAGCAATTAATTCATCATAACTGATTTCAGTGATGTGTTCTAATAATCCCCCGCAATTTTGGAGTGTAAAAAATAGGGTGGGCATGATTTCAGGCTGAGAATATTGCCTCAAAAGGAGCATATAATAATTGATTCTGAGAGAAAAACAAAGGCCTACAGGTCTTCCACTCTGCATGACTCTTCTATATAAAGAATCTTTGTAGCTTTGAGTAACTTCTTGCAGTTTACAAACTGAAACAATGACAAGGCTACAGAGAAACTAATCTTGGCATGAGGGCTCCAGGGGTTGTCCCTGCTCAGCTGTTCCTACAAAGCAGAACTAGTAGAGCAGCAGCAACAGGTAAGAAAAATCTCAGCCCCAGCTGTTTGGTGGGGCTGCTTGTAATGTGACTGATGGACCCACAGGCAGAATAAATCATAAGAAGCACTCTTTTAGACAAGGAAGGTTACAAGAATTTGTTTTTACTGATACGGCCCTAAAATGAATGAGAAAATTGGAATTTATCTAGGTGAATTAGAAAGATGCTTTTAAAATTAGAATAGCTGGTTAGCCAGGCACTGGTGGCTCTCATCTGTAATCCTAGCTACTCGGAAGGTTGAGATCTGAGGACTGCAGTTTGAAACCAGCCCAGGCAACAAACCCTGTGATACCCTTATCTCCAATTAATTAGAAATCAAGGTGGAAGTGTAGCTATGAGCCAAAGTGGTAGAGCACTTGCCTTGATTGTGAAAAACTTAGGGATAGTGCCAAGACCCTGAGTTCAAGTCCCACAACCACCACCAACAAACAACAAACAAGGAAAGGAAAGGAAAGGGAAAGGAAGGGAAGGGAAGGGAAAGGAAGGGAAGGGAAGGGAAGGGAAGGGAAGGGAAGGGAAAGGGAAAGGGAAAGAGAAAGGGAAAGGGAAAGGGAAAGGGAAAGGGAAGGTGAAGGAAGGGAAAAGAAATTATCTACTCATAGTTCACACCTGTAATCCTAGCTACTCAGAAGGCAGAGATCTGAGAATCAAGGTTTGAATTCAGGCAAGTGGGAAAATACATGAGACTCAGAATGATTTTTTTTTAATCAAGACAATATGTAGAAATATAGCAGGATTCAGAGGAAAACTGTCACTTAAGGCCTAGGAACTTCTGTGCATTGCCTAGTGTTTATACTTCCTTTTGTTCTGTTAGTGTCTTTCATGATGGATCTCTATCAACTTAGATCCCATGTCTCCGCATTTACTTGCTTCTGTGTATTCTGCTAAAGAAAATGTAATCTTTGTCACTACACTAAATCAATCCTTTCCCAGTGATGCATTATTTACTACATAATTGTCTAGTAAAAAAATCATCACATTTTTTCCTGTATTTTAGACTATTCCCTTCCTTCAGGTAAGTATTTTCTTTCCTTTGTTAAATTTTAAATGGATCAGATTCCATTAAGCAATTCTTGCTTTTGTTTCCTGAACAGTGAACAGTGAGTCTCCTTGTCAGTGTTGCCTATGCATATATATATATATATATATAAATGTATATATATGAATATATATGCTCTCCTAAATTTCTTAAACTATTTTCAATTCTCTGGTCTTACATTAGGATCTTTGAGTAATTTTAAGTTGTTTTTTTTTTGTAATTACTGAGGAGTCTACATTCAGGCCTTTATGTTCAAATATCCAGCTTTCCTAGTCCCATTTGTTCAAGATGCTGTGTGTTCCTCAATTTCTGTGAAATTACTTCTTTAACAAAAAAAGAAGCCTGTAGGTTTTCAAGCTTATTTCAAGATTTCTGTTCTATTCTATCTGTCATTGCATCATCTATTTTCTTTTCACAGTCAAAATGCTATTACTGTAACTCTGAAGCATAGTTGGAGTCAGATAATGTGATGTCTCTACATCATTGTATTGGGTGGATTTGAAATTACTTGGTAATATACAGATTTCTATTTCTATTTTCAACAAAAAGGTGATATCAGATTTTTGGAAATTGCATTGAATCCACAGATGGTTTTGGTCTTGGTACTGTAGCCATTTTCTCAATAATAATTCTGCCAGTACAAAATATTGGTGTTCTTTCCATCTTGCAGATGTTATAAAGAGAATATATTCCTGATTAAATAGTTACTTTGTTGTTTGTACCTGTAAAAGTGTCTTACTTTTGTGTTTTGAGTTTATATCTTCGTTATTTGTTAATGTAAAAGTTTATTAGGCCTAAGAGTATTTTTCCAAAGACGGTGAAAAATATGTGAATAAAATGTACATTTATTTATTTATTAGTGTGCTCGTCCCAGGGCTTTAACTCAGGTTCTGGGCTGAGCTTTTTTGCTCAAGGTTAGTGCTCTATCACATGAGTCACAACTCCACTTCTGATTTTTTTATGATTAATTGGAGATAAGAGTCTCAGAGACTTTCCTACTCAGGCTGGCTTATAACTGCAATTCTCAAATCTCAGTCTCCCAAGTAGCTCAGATTACAGTTGGGAGCCACTGGCTCCTAACAAAGGTTAGATTTAGGATTTTGTATTCTATTAGGAATATTCTACTCAAGCATTAAAAGTTTTTGCTTTCCTTCTGGGTGAAAATCTTTCACTGGATTTAAAATTTACATTTTTATAATGAGTTCTTTGATAGACTTGTAAATACACTGAGTATAGTAAATTTTAGTCATTTGATTATTTACAAACTTCTGCTTTTAAATCTTCTAATATTTTTAGTTAAATCTAGAAAAGTATTTTACAAGTGGTATTTTTTCATTAGTACTCATGTAAGTCTCTTCTTACCATGGGACTATTTTCTTTCTAAGTTTTTGGGATATTAAACTATAGCTGACAAAGGAAAAATGTGCTTCCCAGCCTTCTGTGAGCACTTCATAGATAGTTTTGTAATTCTTTCATGCAGTATTTTTCATTGGATTGTGACAGATTGGTCTCTTTTGTGGGAAGAACACTAAACTCTGGAATCTTGAGTGTTGCCCTCAGCAAAAGGATTAATACTGTCTATATGGAATCTGGAGTATATCTGAATTAATTCATATATTTGACAATAAGGAACAATTAGAAATGAGAAACTATGATGTTAAGATTTGCTGTTCTTAAACATGATTATCTTTTCATATCAAAAATGAGGCTGAAGATATGAAATATCTTCTGAACAAAAATAAGAATGAAAGATGCTTCCAGATTACTTAAAAATCTACAAGAATTCTCAAGGAAATACAGATTTCAAGATCTCTTGGCCAGTACAATCTTAGGTGTGCTGGCTAGACTATTAGTTAAGGCCCAAAGGACCTTCTATCCTTTGCAGTAAAACATACCTTCATCTCTGAAATAATGGAGAAGTTTCTCATAAATAACCCAGACTGAACATTATTAAACACAATAGAGAAACACACATCCATCAAGAAGCAGAATTCAGCTTCTAAACATCTATGTCAGGTACATGACAACATGAAGTAGATGCTGAAATACAATACTGACTCTTAGACTTGTCTGATTTGGCTGGCTTTGAATAATGAGATAAACCAAGGGAGGACAAGGAGCATTCAATTAGCAGGATCTTCTTCTAGTACTCAAAACTGAGGCCAAAACAATAGTTCCGTTAATTATCATTTTGCATATACACAGTGTTCACTTTCTAAATGGGTCATAAAATTAGTTTTAAAGTAATTCCATTGGTGTTACTCTTATTTAACTTTAAAGTACTATTTTTGAGAATCCTATCATTTACATAGTTCTATTAGATTGAATTAAGTAAATAAAAATGTGGATGAAAATGTATATTATATTATCAACACTAAAAATATTTGATGAATCATAAACATATTGTAAAATAGCTTAAAAGAAAGTTGTTTAATCACATCTATTCATTACATGATGGTCATTCTACTTAACCCTTCAAAACAAAAGAGCTAAGCACGTATTGCTCATGTTGCAAACCTATCTACTCAGAAGGCAGAGACATAGAGTATTACTGTTGGCAGGAAGGCCAAGTAGATAATTCCATGATCTACATCTCCAATTAACCAGCAAAATGGTAGACTATAAGTGTGGCTCAAGTTATAGTGTACTGTGAGTCAGGGGATGAGCC